AGGCTCAGGATTTTGGGGTTTGGGGACGTTGTGATTGTCGGGGCCCTTAGGGTCGATCCCGAAACTGTTTTCATGCTTTGAACATTCCCTTTATGATGGTGATTACGTTTTGTAGCTGTTAGTAAACTTTTTCTGTCATGATCATCGTACCTAGCATGATTTGTCAAGCCTTGTCCGTTGCCTCCTAAGCGCTAGAACGTGTGCGCCATTTTGCGGATGTGGTGGAGATCTGTGGCCCCCATACGCGGGTGGTGTCGACTGGCGGCGCATGCTTAGCAATTGTGGGTGATTGCGTGCATTTTCACCAACAAGCGACCAATCAATTGGGAGAAGTTTGAGAAAGAGCATGCTGCCGGGATCACCAGCAATGGACCAGGTAATTTATGAGTATAGTCCCCCTGAACTAGATAGAATATGGGGTATATGGAGATCTTATTATAATATACCAAAGCCATATTCTCTCTACCTAACGGGGACTATAGGGTTTAAGGGCTCTACAAGCTTCGGGAACTATCCACTTATCCTACCAAGAGGAGCCTTGCCGAAAGCTGGGCCGCAAAAACCAAGCTCTCCGTTGCGCCCGCAAGGACGCTACAACACACATGCTCTTATAGTCCCGCTTAGGTAGATAGAACATGGATTTGGGTACATTACTACAACATCCCCAAATACTCCATATTCTTTCTACTTGGGGGGGACTATACACCCTATACCCTAAACCCTAAGCCCTAAGCCCTAAACCCTATAGAAGCTTCGAAGACTCCGACGCGGCCGGGCGCGCATACAGTGGCCACAATGCCTTTTGAGAGCTGGAGAGGAGCAACGCGGCAGAGTTGCGAAGAAGGACCTTCGCTGCAAGCAATGGTATATTTCTAGTATATTTATAGGATATCATAGTATAGTGTAGTATAGTATAATATAGTATAGTATATTTACGGTATATCTATGGTATATTACAGTATGATTTAATATATTATGGTTTATACTGTAGTAATTATGATATGCATGGCGGGCCTACCAGGAATCAAGGTGGCCTTCCACGGGCGCTGACACATCTCCATTCGGGGCGAGGGTTCCCTGGCAAATCCTTACCTCCCAGACACTAAACCCGCAAGCCTGATTGTTAAACTCCTGAACCCTACATCCTAGACTCATGAAATCTCATGAAACACTCAGCCCACAAGCCCTCAACCCCTAGCCCAAAAACTAAACCAACAAGCGCTAAGCTACTGAACTCTACATCCCATGCTCATAAACATTAAACCCACGAGCCATAAACCCCTAACCACAAGACACTATACCCAGACCCAGAAACACTAAGCCACAAACCCTAAATCCATAACCCCCAAATCCCCCAATCTCTAAGAATTTCAGGATACCTGGACCGGTGCCGTGTGGGCCCTAGCTCATAGCCGGCAAAGGGGGTCCCTCTATTTATAGTCTATTTGTAGGATATTATAGTATATTATAG